TGAGGATTTTTCCTGAAAAAAAACAAGCCAGGACAGGTTCTATAAAACCACTCTAAAGACTTTAGTTAACTTTCATAGACTAAAAACAACCAATTTTGAGTAAGTGATGAGTTTAACACCTTTACAAAGCAGGAGTATAAAATGTCCAGCCAGAGGTGACATTATACCTACTCTTTTTGAGTCATAGGTCTTCAGGTGTATGATGTCGTAGTCTGAGAAAACCCTCCATGTTTCACTGAACAGATCTCCATAACCATAAAAACTCTGGGGAAAAAAACATGAAATATTGTTACATTAGAAATGAAAAAAACAGCAAAAGTTAAATCAACTACAGCCTTTAGCAGTGCCAGAGTCATCTGTTTAAAAACACAAGTTTTGGTTTTATACAAAATCTGTTATCACATTATCTGACAGTCTGCTGCTGTTTGGACTGCTGTGTGCAGTTTGTGCTGAAAGGTCACTGCTTTCCTTCTCCTTGACAGTTTTCTCTCCTTCCCTTTTCCTCTTAACCTCTGTGCACAGTGGGGGGAACAATGGGCCGGATAAGGCTGTCTGTAAAGCATTCTGTTTTTCAACTGGTGTTTCCCCTTGATGTCTTCATCAGGCACATACGCCACTGAATTGTTAAACAAAAACCGTGACTGTAGTACATTATAGACAAACTACAGTGTGGCTTTCTGGCTCGGTTGCTGTATTCAAATCCAATCTCAATTTTAAGATACTTATTTACTTATTTCAAATATTTGTATTACTCCGTGTTTCCTCTTCACCATTTGTGAGCAAATTATGTATAACATAATTAAGTGGGGAAAACAACAGGTTTTACTTTCTTTTTAAAAAAATACATTTTTATTTTACAAAATACTTTCCCTCTCTGATGTTACTCTGGACAATATCATCACAGACAATATTACATAGAGAGAGAAAGCTAAAATATATTGCTGCATCTGCAATATGAATCTTAATCAAACTAATCTTATGCATCAACATTTGGAAAACGTGTTTGATCTTTATTATTCGAGAACAAATCAACTCTTCTCTCTATATGGAGGCTGAGAACTGCCTTCATATAGGATTTATTTCATAAATGTATATTTATTTCTTGTTAGCTAGAAGACGTCATCAACAATTCACTTGAGACAGGACACATGGAAAATCCTGTCTGGTGTTTCATTTTGACAAATAATTAAAGGTGTGACATGAACTTCCTAAACATTTATCTTCTTTTATCGCAGTCTGCAAGGGTGAAAAAGTGTAATTGAAAAAAAAAGTGAAATTAAACAAGTCGTTTATGAATTGTTATCATTTCCGGTGGTCATAGCAAGCACGTTCATTTGAACTTGAACAGCTATGTATCCCTAACTACAGAGTATGTGTAGCTAACCTTAAACAGAAACAACAAACTACAGAACATATCTACCTTACACCCTCCTTTCCATTGAAACTGTAATAGGAGCCTTCTGGTACCCACCGTGTCCCACATGATGATGTTAATATCTGAGCTGAAGGAGTTGTTAATGTGCTGGGAGATGTAGAGGTTGACAAAGTCACAGAAATGGTGGTACATGTTCACTCCTAGTACAGAAACACACAATTATTATTTTTGTCATCATGTAAAGACAGAAAGCAGAAAAAAGTCAACTGTGAACATCAGTCTGATGTTAGGCCTGTCATTAAAAGAGGAACAAATCTCTGGAGTCCAGCTCTCAAGACATTACTCAGCAAGGGTTCTATAAAGTTTGGTGGAATCCTTGCTATTGCATGCTGGAAGCATGAATTAACTGCAAAAACATCTTCATCCAGTGTCTTGCAAACAAGTTGAATGTGCACACGTCCAAAAGAGCATGTGTTTTTTATTAAGGTGTAATACGTGCAAAGGTTTTAGCTACTTGTTTAGACTGCAGGGCTTTAAATTGAGTCACATAAACCTTTGTTACTTACCAGCATCCAGTTTCATGAAAACAGTGGGTTTTTCAATGATGATGTCACAGTGTGCGTCCTCAGTGGGATGAAAGTCCAGCTCAGTGTATGTCTGCAGCTCAGCATACCTGCAAAAAACAGCACAGCACATAAGTATACTATAACAAACATTACAACCCAAAAACATTTATAATAGTGACTTAACAGAGAATTAATTTATTTTAATACTCCCTTTTGCAGGAGTGGACATTTCGAACTTTTGTTACTGCCCGTAGCAGAATCAAAAAAGAAAAAAGAAAGTGTGCATCGGTTTAAGATTATGTTGTCTCTACTGTTTAATCTGAAATAAAATAATAAAGCTATTTTGAATTCATTGGAGAGGGCTAATTCTAGTCCAAGGCCCGATGTACAATAGGCACCCCGAAAATAGGTAATAGGTAAAACAAATTGATTGTCACATGGCAAAAATACAATAAACATTACATTTCTCTTTTCAGGAACCTCACTGGCTAAACAATTCAAATGACAGTAGCTTGTTAAGGTAGAGTGTTCCTGTTTCAGTTGTCCACTGGTCTGACTGAGACAATGATTTGAATATTTGAAGTCCAGTAGACATCTTTGTAATAATAGTTAAAAAAAAGTGCCCATTAAAGGTGGTTAGGGGGAAATTCTATGACCTAAAAATGAACAACTCAAACTGAATCAATTAATAATAATGGTATCACAGAACATGTTTGATAATCTTAATAAGATCTTGTGAATTGCTATTATTAGCTGCACAAGATTTTGCATATTCTGTCAAATTTCCTCCCTCTGTTCGAGTTTGTAATGTCAGGTGGTGGTGAGGTCACATCAGCTCTGGCGAAGAAAAAGATATGTGGGGATGATAGCCAACTTGGAGGCATTCCCTTGTTCAGTGGGACTAATATGTTTAAATTCAAAAACATCATTTCAAGATATTTCACTGCAGGCTCACAATAGCAGGGCCTTCAGTGGAGGCTTTCCAGTTTCTATGCTATAATACACGGGGCTGAGGATTGTTCAAATTGTAGGAAATGTCCAGCATTTGTGTTTGCACAGACAACAGAGTTTTCACACAGGGCTTATGTCGGTCTGAACATAGCTCATGGAGTTACTCTGAAATTGCCCAAGAAAGGGTTGAATTTTAACAAATGGGATACCTTTAAATCTAACAACTAATGAGGATATAAAATACAATTACTGTGTATTACTGATTACTGTAATAAGCAAACACAACATACAACTATGACAATTGCTGTACTTGGTGCACATTAAGAGCTACATTTTACATTGCAGCATAACTCTCTCCACAGATGAGGGAAAAAAATCCTACACGAGCCAGCCAGGAGTCGAACCTAGAATCTTCTGATCCGTAGTCAGACGCGTTATCCATTGCGCCACTGGCCCGCTACAACCCTTTTGACAAAAGACTAGCATGGAGCACAAACTCCACCCTCACATTCCTGAGTGACTCAGCCGGGACTGCTTTCAGAAGGACCAACATGATTCTTTCTGGCAGGGGAAGAAGGGGGGGAGGGGGTCTACTACTTCGCAGCCTCTTGTTGTTACGGATCACTCTACCTGCCTTTGAGTCTGGAACAGTTGACTGCAGAGCTTTGAATCTTTCTGATTTTACCTACACTGTTGTCCCTGGAATGGAGACGTAGCTGGTCTGACTTAAGCAAACATGGCACATAGTGTAACTGCAATGTCTCCAGGCAGGACACAAGCCACCTCTAAGCCGTACAGGACAGTAATACCTACAGACGCCTGTTCAGCTAAATTCTGGCAATACAGTGCACAGAATAGCTTATCAGCGGGGGGGGGGAAGCACCACCTAGTGATGGTCTGTGTTACTACATTCTCCAAATCCAGTCCTGCCAGTTGTCACCATAGACTGTGGTTGTCACACATGCTCTAGAATCCAGAATGAAGCAAGTGGCTAAAGGTCCCTGACGGTCTAGTGGTTAAGAGTCGGCGCTCTAACCGCTGTGGCCTGGGTTCGATTCCCGGTCAGGGAGCTCAGTTTTGGGCCTATTTAGCAACTAAAACTAGACAACACACTATGAAACCACGGTAACATCATGTCTTTTTATATATTTATTGGCAGACACATCGGTGTATGTGCAGGTGTTCCAGTGTCTGTCAGTAGTGCCTCCACATAAGACCATTAACAAGCAATTTACAAATCAAACTCAGAGTCTGTCAAGCTGATGACACCACCCTCACTGAGCTCATCTCAGGTGGGGATGAGTCCGCCTACAGGTGGGAGATCGACCATCTGGTGACCTGGTGCAGCCAGAACAGTGTGGAGCTCAACGCTCAGAAGACCGTGGAGATGCTCGTGGACTTCAGTAAGAGCCCAGCCCCACCCCAAAGATTGCAGCTGACTCCTCCCCACCCCGGACACAAACTGTTTCAGACTCTCCCCTCTGGCAGGAGGCTGCGGTCCATCAGGACCAAAATCTCTCGCCACAAAGACAGTTTCTTCCCGTCTGCTACAAGCCTCATTAACAAGACCCGGGTCCCCACTGACACTCCCCCCTTGCAAACGATACAAATGTCTCTGCACATGTAAATACCGTTTCATCTCGTGTCAGGCTCAGACCTGGCACATCGCACATATTTGTTGTAGATTGTTGATCTTTGTTGTTGTATATTTTTATGTTGTCAGTTTATATATTTAAATGTACACAGTATTCTCTTCCGTTGCGTTACTTTTGCACGGCACAGACCTAGAATAATGCACATGTATATATCTGCAACGTTGTTCTTCCATTCCATATTTATATATTTCTACATTTATTTATGTTGACTGTTTGTCTACGTGTAGCACCTTATCACCACAGCAAATTCCTCGTATGTGTAAAACACTACTTGGCAACAAAGCTCCTTCTGATTCTGATTCTGATTAGGATGAACAAACCATGCAAATGTAACCTATCAATGCATTCAATTATGGACAAAAACTGTGCACAAAAACTTGCTTTTAACTCCCTGGTAGTCTAGTGGTTAGGATTCAGCGCTCTCACCGCCGCAGCCCGGGTTCAATTCCCAGTCAGGGAACTTGCTTTGGCCTCCTTCAGTGAGCATAAACCCATGTTTTCTCCAAGTACCAAGAGTTCATACCAACACCATTGTCTATAGCTCAGGAACCAAGTGTGTGAATGTGTGCGTCCTGCCTCACCAAGATTGTAAGGGGCTCTTGTGCTCTCCCTCAGCAGTGAGCGCTCGCTTGTTCAGTCTGCACCGACCACCAATCTCACCACTCTGAATGAAGTCCTCCTTGTATCTGCAGCATAAACAGGGATGAATTTCACGACGCCCTCATCTGTGTCAGTGTAATGCATTTTTCATGTACATGTCACTTTCAAACATACTGACCTCTCATGACTTCTGCGCGGCTTACGCAAGTCCAGGTAAAGATTAGTTGCCTTACAGAATCGTGTGTGGCTGCTACATCTTAATGATGAGTCCCCCTGGAAAATATTAAGAATACAAATCTTTAGTATTTAATTGAAATAAATAAACTCTGGACCTTAGAGATTATGAGAGTGGTCTCTACTCTCTCTACACTACCGCTTTTAAACTACAAATTATGTTCAGCCCTATAGTCTGTGGACTCTTTAAGCATTATGTCTGTCACTATGTTTCTACCTGTTGTTTCATCCTGTTGACTCAGTAGGCCCGTGGGAACTGAGGAAATGAGCAGACTTACTGGCTTGCTGGCCTTGCAGAGTGTGTTGAACTCAGAGAGGCGTTCTTTGACGTAGCCAAAATCAGCCTGCTTCCAGAAAAGCTCCTGGGCTGCCTCCAGTGAACGGGCCCTGACAGATCAGAGATTTAGGCAGATCAGCAAAGCCCAAGCCATAATGGTTCATCAATGATGCATGCTATCAATGAGTACACTATTATGTTTGAAAAATACTGGAGACCAGGTTCCAGTGAATTCAGAGTGAAGTGAATTAATGTAAATTGCATTATACTTCTGAGAAGGACAAAGTAAGAACATAATGTGTACTAGAACATGATGTGAGGAACAGTACCATCCAGAGTCTGCTTTGGTACAGACTGGATAACTAAAGCGCTTCCCTGGATCACAGTTCTTCTCATAACCCCAACAGGCAGACAGATCCTGCAGCACATCCTGTTGTAAAAACAAATGTGAATATATATGTGTGTGTGTGAGAGAAAGAGAGCAAAAGGACGTTGATGATTAAAATCTATTAAAAACTACAGAACAAAACTGACTGACTATGGACGAAAAGCAGATTCTGTGGATATGCAATAATTGTTATGTGCTAGTAGACAGTCAAGTCAGACCAACACCGGAACAATAATATTTGCTAATCCACAATGAGCTGACTAAGTTGATGAAATTGCAACACAGTTCAAAAATAATATAACTTTACACAATAGTTAGTATCTAAAACATGCTTTTCTCTAATACAGTCCGTCCTTAATACAATTGTAATTGCAAATCGTAAAGTAAATTCCAGAGCAAACTCCACTCATCCACTGCTCCAGCTAGGGTAGAACAAACTGTTTCAACAATCCTGTACTTTTTAAACAAGTGCTAACTGTTACAGACAAAAAAATAATCCCGATGTTCGAAAAATATTTATCTTTGCGGGAAGTGACTTTTCTAAACCATTCTGTGTGAAGTATCAGTGTGACGTCCACAGACGAAGGGCCAGGACAATCCCCCGTGTCTTCTTGCCAACTTTTGGAGGGCAGTGTCCATTTACGTGCACATCAATGTCCACAAATTACCTCATTTAAAACTGCAACTGAGTGCATACTCAATTAAATACTGCCCATTCTGACGAATCATAATGCTTACACAACACAAACAGACAATAAAATTCAACAACACATTTCATGTTCTTATTGGTTATGATCTAAAGCTTAAGGTAATAGACAGTCAATTAACAAAGGGCTTTGTTAGAGTCTTTCCATGCAGAACAGCTAAACTCAAAGGAACTAACTAACATGTTACCACTACACTGAAGAAAGAAGTTGAACTGTGAAAAGTTAACAGATTATCTCTTACTTTAAAGGGGCAGAGTGGGTCCAGGCGGCATTGCTTGGCCACCCTCTTGTTGTTGAAGAGGAAGTAGGGTACGTGCTCTGGCGGCAGGGAGATCCTGCTGTAGTTGAGCAGCGGTGCTGGTGGTTTGTGGTTGGTGTTCTCAGCCTTCTCAGTGGTGACCACAGTGAAAGAAAAAACGGTGCCCAGTGCTACCAAGAGCAGCATAGTCAGAATTACACAGACATGTGAGATAGCCGCCGCTCTTCACAGCACCCTGAGGGGAAAAATGAAGAGGAGAGACAGAGACACAGACTCAGACTTGCGCTGTGTAATCTTGGTTAAAAGCCTAACACCACAGTGTATAAGCATGTGGGCACAAGCAAGTGTGTGGGAACTTAGTTCCAGGCGGATCTGAAAGCCACATTAGGAAAAGGTCCTGCTGCAGGAAGTATTACAGACCTTTTTCCGACTGTTGTCTGAGCAATCATAACTGAGACTTAAGGGGCAAATGAAAACTGCTGGCTGGTAATAATGTGACCTTTGCAGTTCCAGGTGGTCAAACCAGTATTTACTCACAGTGCAGACAGTCATATGCTCATGTTCCATGGGATTCTGGAAAGTCTCAAGGATGCATGTCCTTACACAGCCCAAAGCCACTGCCATTCTACACTCCCAAAATCAATGATCAAAGAATATGTGTGACTGCTGCTATTGCAGTTACCACACTGTGTTGTAAAACAATGGCTCCCAAATATTTGCACATCTGAGGGAGCTGAGGACTTATGTTGCTATATGACTTGTAACAAAATTATAGATCTGTCTAAACAGTTGGTTTGGTAACAACACGTTTTCAATAGTCATGAATTACACATGTTCGCTTGGAGCTTCTTAAAGAGAGTGAAAAAACTGTCTTTGCGATGGGCGTAACGGGATGTCTGAAACTCCCTAACAACGTCTCCATCTGGGAAATACTTCAGGAGTAAAGCTCCTTGTGAAAACACGGCACAGTGTGTCTTCACAGTGTTTTGGTGGCATTAGTTGTAAGTTAGCTAATTATCGTCGGACGGTTTTCTTTAAGTGTTTTATACGTTATCGCTGTGTAAGGCAGAGGTGTTTTTTACGAGTCCTATTCAAACACTGTAACTTCATCTGTTTGCCCCACGTGGGCTCCTAGAGAACAAGCAAACTTCACTTGAGCCAGCTAATTATCGCTAACATGTAACTATCAAGCTTTCAGCCAGCGTCCATTAGTTAAGTTAATCTTTAAGATGACCTTAACGTTGCAACCCGCCAGGAACACTCAGTGGCTTGAGAGGCATGTGAGATAAATCTGAGGACTGAGGACATGTGGAAGTAATAACGCATTACCTACGCTTTTCTTTTTCAGAGGATAAAATAATAAAGTACTATATTGAGGGGCTACTGTCTGAAATATTTATGTGGTGGCTAACATGTAGCGTTAGTTCTTGACAAAGCCAAGACACCTTAACGTTCATTTTAAGCTGTAACGTTAACTGTTACTGTTACCGATGGGGCACTAAAAGAACTGGACAAGAGAGACAAATATTTCCACGGTTCAAAAATGTACGAAGGGCATAAAACTCACTATTAATGGTCTAATTAAGGTTGTTATGAGTTTGAGTGAGAGGCAGTTTACCTGAACGCACAGCCTGCTATCCTCCAGACCGAAGCGAAGATGATGTTGGCGGTGGTCGCCATAACACCGGAAACCTGATAGACCGGCATGTAATATGTAGCGGCCGCCACGTGGCGGCGCTGTGTGCCACACTTTTTCTTAGATTACTCCAATACTGTAGCTCTAAAGCCCAACCTTTCTTCTAAGGACCATTTTACAGTACATGTTGACAGCAAAACAAGATTCACCATCTGTTAATAGATAATAAGCTGGATTGAGAAATTGAAAAAAAAAAATTTAAATGATAAAACCCATTATCACAAAATTTTACTTATCCTAATGTGATCAATTCGGTTTTATTATACAAGCACAATACCTGCTCATGTATGTTATGTTTCACATTTATGTTTGTCAATTTGAATAAAATTGTACCCATCACATTTTACAAGGACAACTGTGTGAAATTGTTCAGACCATGAATATTTATTTGAAGTTTTGTGTAGCTTTCAGAGAATGCAGTATTTTCTGTGAATGTAAATTACTGACTTCTGATGTGCGATTCCATACTTAAATAAAAACATAAATAACCAATCACCGTATTTTTCACCACCCCAGTAAATGTTTATTAATTTACATATTTATACGGATTAAATTCCAATCTTCAGGATTTCAATCACAGACTACTCTCAGGTCTACACCACATTTGTAAGGAGTTAAGAACAATACATACATTTGTCTGTACAATATTTTTATATATTTCTTAAACCATTCTGATAATCCATTTAAAAAGAAACAAGGATGTATTTGTAGAGTGCAAAGTACCTTCACCTTCTTCTATTGTTAAACTGCCTATACAGTACTATGTGAAAGGTTCAGTCATGAGAAATTATGTCTAAAGTAAAGTTTGTACTAAGTCCCAAAGATGGACACCCGAATCACAAACTGTGGCTATCCTTCATACTGATTCTGTAATAATACATTGTATTTTATGCGTAATCCCAACTTCCCCACTTAAATAAAATATGTGATAATTAATTAGAATAAAATAAAACATAAAGATGAATGAATTTTCCTTTAACACAGTGATAAAACTTTAATTATCTGCCCCATCTTATTCTGTAAATGCATTTGTGGCTAAGATGGTCGGGTGATTCGTTCCCAGAAATAACAGAGCAGCAAAAACTGTTTATTTCTGGTTCTTCAGCAGTTCATCAATCTGGGTTTTGTACATGTTCTTTACATCTTCGAGGTCCAGTCTAAGCTCCTCGGCCTCTTCAGCCTTTTCTCCATACATCTGCAGGATGGTGTTGTGCCTCTGCTCCAGTTCCTAAAATGCACAGCCACAGAAATTAGAAGAACCAAGGCAAATACATTCCCTCTCAAGAGGAAAATTCTTTCCAATGAACCTTCAAGTGTCCTCTATTTCCTTATTAGGCCCTTACCTTCAGATTAACTTTTAATTTGGGGATCTCCTTCACCTTCTCCTCCATCTCATCGTTTTGATTGGTGAGTCGGACTAGCTCCTCAGACATCACAGAACGACTCCTCTCTAGACTGGAGATCTCAAGCTGCAACAGCAGGAGGAAATAACGATGAAAGAAATAAAGAAAACCACTAGAGCATATCAGTCTTTTAGTGCAGGAGATGACTCTTTTTTTCCCTATCAAAAGATACATAGTGTTGGTTCATATTTAAATAAATAATTCTTTAAATTGTAAAAAAAGATTGTAGATTTGGGCAGAAACAAAGTCTTCAGTATCTTTATGTGTTACGTTAGTTCTGAAATGCTACCTGCAGCTGTGCTATCTCTCCTTCTCTGAGTTTGAGCTGAGATTGGAGGTTCTCCACAATGCTGGAGCCTCCAGACAGCCTGGCAGCCTCGTACAGGTTGGTCCCGCTCATCGACACAGACATGGTCATGGTAGCCAGAGAGTGGTCTAAAGAGTCATCCTGTGGACGAGTGAAACAAAACAGTGGACCAATCAAGCTATACAAATCAAAGCATGTAAAATCTAATCTTCACTTCTAGATTTAAACATTTTTCCTGGCGTGTACCTGGGAAAGAATAGAGGTGTGCAGACCAGCATTGTCTGCCCCACTGATGGAGCTGGAGCGAGACAGGGAGGGCGTGGAGGAGGCTGGAGGCTCTCCTACAGAGTGGCTCATAGCCTTCCTCTCCTGAGAGGGAAACATATCACAGCCATTAGAGAACAGAACTGAAACATCTTAACTGTTAGAACTGAGACATTTCTTAAAACAAAAAATTTAACTACAGATAACATTTGGTGGTAATTCTCTGTAAAATTCTCTAAACCTTTTCCTTGAGTGCCTCTTGTGCCAAGTAGCACTTCTTCTTCTCTTGCTCCACCTTCATCTTCTCCATCTCTAATTGATTGGTCAGCAGCAGCTGGTGGAAGAAGCAGAACGATGCACATGAGGAAGCTCTTTAATAGAGGACAACAGGTGTAGGAAGGAGCATTATGGTACCTTTTCTTTCTTGGCATCTTCTTGCATCCGAATGTGTTCTCCTCGCAGATTTTCCAGCTCAACATGCTCCCTACATTGATTTAACAAGCAACAAGTCACTACAAACAAACAAATAGCAAAGACTCAAAACCAGTTAAATACTCCTCCGACCATTCTGATAATCAATCAATCAATATAATGGTGTACATTATAATGATGGGCTGCAACTAACAATTATTTTCATTGTCGATTAATCTGTGGAATATTTGCTTGATTAATCGATTGGTTGTTTCATCTATAAAGTGTCAGAAAATTGGCAACAATGTTTGACGTCCGCAAATGTCTTTTTTTGTCCACAACCCAAAGATATTCACTTTACTGTCATAGAGGAGAGAATGAAAGCAGAACATATTTACATTTCAGAAGCTGAAATCAGCTCATTGATTATTCAATTAATCGTTGCAAATTTAATATAACAATCTGCAATAAGCCACTGAAGGAGCGACATAAGCAGCCAAGAGCTATATCTAATGTCAGCTTAAACTGGCATCATTTCAGCCTTTCTTTTTACAGCCATGTGTAGGTAAGAGGCTGTAGAGGCACTTTATTGTAGTATCAAGATATATTTTCTTCTTTTGTGTCACAAAATATGTGCACAGTACACCTGAGCAAAAAACATCCGAGCCAGCCAGGAGTCGAACCTAGAATCTTCTGATCCGTAGTCAGACGCGTTATCCATTGCGCCACTGGCCCAGTCAAAGCAACCTGCCTTCTCACAAAAGATGTAGCACACAGGCCATGTGTGCACGCATGACTGCTTCCGTCAGGGGGGAATCCCCCCCCCCGCCTCTACTTCACACTCTGACTCACAAATGGGTTCATTGTAAAACAATGACACTCCAGGAAGCATTAGCACTACAAGGGAACACGTGGTGACTGCAACACTTCCACTGGTCTTTATGCCACCCTAAAAAACTATGCCACTACTTTTCACACACATATGTATCTGTAAAACACCCAGCAAAAGTTAGATATTTGGCAACAGGGGAAAATGAATGCGGCATAACGTTTAACATGTTATTTAATGTCTTCTAATGTTTTAAAGTAAGGATTCTGGGAACAATGACAGAAAGTAAAACCAAATGTAGACAAAAGACAAAAACACTGACATTTGGGGGGGGGGGGGCTACTTATTGATGGTTAGCTCCTGTCTTCTGTCATGCAACCCACGTTCTTTATGGTCTAGTGGTTATGATATAATTCAGTAGCAACTCCATCAGCATTTTAAAGCCATGTCATAGTCATAGTCCAAATTAAACCAACTAACTCGACCACTGGCACTCGGCACTGAGAATGAGTGCAAGTGATAATAACTGGTTGGCTAGATGTATCTTACCATAAGTTAGAATTTGTTACCTGCTGGTCTCATCTTCCAGTTTCTCTCTCTTGTTCTTCTCAGCCTCCAGCTGTGCCAGGAGTCGGGCCTTCTCCTGGCGGAGCAAGGAATTCTGGGAATCCAAGAGGCCAGCTGGGACTTGATGGACAGCAGCTCCTCTGCTGCTGATCGCTCCTTCTCCACAGCAACAGCCAGCTGTGCCTGGGCCTCCGCTGTAGAAAAGAAAAGGGGGATTAAAGGGAAAGCAAAAATGATCACTTTGTATAGTGCTTTATTTTGGTTATTGTTCTACACATACAGTTAAACGTCTGACTCTTACCAAGCCTATCAGAGATGTTCTTCTCCAGTTTTTCCCAGGATGCTGTCTGTCCGCCCAATGAGGCCTGTAAGTTCTCAATCTGTCGCAGTAGTGGCCGTGTAGCTGAGGTAACACTCTGACTGAGTTCCTGGTTCCTAGTCTCTGCCTCCTGAAGCCTCTGTGGAAGAAGACAAGAAAAAAATGGCGAGCATTAAATCCTGACCTTTTCAAAATGATTGTTATTTTTGCCTCTTGTTAAAAAGGAACCAGCCTGGTTGTGCACCTTTTAACTGCCATATTACGTTACCTGCTGCAGCTCACTGATCTCCTCCCTCAAATAATCTTCTTTTCTTGCTTGCTGTTGCTCGGCCCTCTGCAGAGCCAGTCTCAGGTCAGCCACCTGTACACAACATCAGAAAAAGCTAATCAAGGATGTCCTGATAAACTGGTCTGGCTTACTTATATATATGTGCAAAACTAAACAAATTACCAAATAAGTACTTAAAGACACTGCTATACTGACATTACTACCTGACAATTTCTATCTTGCTTATGTAGCATGTCCAACAAATGATCAACCGCTTATGCTGTAAACATTTACTCTATTGCCCAGCTCTGGTGGTATTACATGGATTGGGCTTTTGTGAGTGAAAACAAGCAGGATGAACAAATTCTGGGTATAGTTAAACAATCACACACTGTCAACTCTGTCTGCCTGCCTGATTAAGTAATCATAACAGGCAATTGTTTCGAAGCAGTACCACCTGCACCTTAGGGGGAAAAAACTGCACCACTGACTTACGTTTCAGGATTGTGGTTTATTGAGGCTGCACCACAGCCTACTGTGGACTACTGCTTACATTAACACATGCAATGTGTGCAGCAGCAGCAGCATCCCAGTAGGTCTGAAACTTGACCTACATGCACGGCGAACAAACTGACGCACGTGAGCCCGT